TACAGATAAAGCAGACGGTAAAGATGCTAAGAATAGCCAGAAATCTCAACTTATGTTTGGAAATTGTAAAATACAAAACATTGAGAACTATCAAATCCTGCACTTATCTGTTACAGCATATCAAGCCAACGTTTGCTTTCTATTTCAGGGAGGATTTCATTTAGCACATCTTGACTCACAAAGGGTAACATACTGAATAAATCTGTGAGCAGATGTTTTAGCTTTAAAATAACACAGTCATTTTTTGCAAAAGAATTCATTCATCATTATCTAATAAAAGGGTGCGGTACAATCACAAGTACTGAGTGTAAAATGTACAATGCTGACAGGAAAGAATGGTTGTTTCTTTGTTTTGGTTTTTTTTAAAATGCTACTGCTGAGGTATCTTTCATCAGACCACTGCACTTAAACTGTTCCAGAAAACCTCATTACAGTAGCAAATGTAGCAAATCACCTTCATGTTATCTATGCAGATGATATGCAAACTTGATTAATAAAGTTGCTATACAACAAGAGACTTTTACAAAACAACAACAAAATATGGGAAACGATAGGGCTCTCCGACTGAGCCAAATATCTTCAAACCTTCCATGTCATGACCCATAAATGCCAAATGTCACGTCAGCTTCACAGCAGACAGCTGTTAACAGTCTGACAAATGTTACATTGGTCAGGCATGTCAGGAGAACTGGGCTCGCTTTCATCAGTGTTGTTGAGAATTTGTGAAACCTGAGTAAAGACCTTGTCCAGGAGTGAAACACAGAACTGAATTCCAGTGCAACAGATTTTCCGAAAACTCAGACAACACACAAACGAATGCACTCTACACTACACACTGTTTTTGTTCTCAAACAGGATATATTTCATTTTCTTACATACATAAACACGTTTATCAGCTAATGGAACTGGAATTAGAATTTCACTGTTACCTACTGCTACAAATATAAACATATATCTAGACTTTTCCATAGCTTAAATAAGGCTGGAACGTCATGTCAAGTAGCTAAAGGATAAGATTGAACAAAGTGTATGAGGAATGCCAGAGTAACAGACTGAAAATGACTTAAAATAGTAGATAGCTTACATCTGACAAAGACAGTCAAGGACTCCACAAAAGTGAAATGTCACCCATTTCAAATCATTTTCCTTGTAAATTTATGTAGCAATTTGTTGACAGTATCCAAATAAACTTAAATGACATGGGGATGGATGCCTCCCAACCCACACTGGTCTGGAAGGGTCAGATGAACAGATGAGAAAAAAAAGAAAATGTTCTCCTTCATTGCTCCATCAAAGTAAGAAAAATAACTGGCTATCTGTTCTTATGTCTGCATGGCCTGGATTTTGTAATCCCTCCTTTTGCTAAACTCTAGGTTTATGCAACGATCAATCTTTCCGGTCTCCCTAATATACAAAGCCTGTTTGACACTAAAGCTTTTCAAGACCTCTCGGTGTGTTTACTGCTCTATAAAGCACACCTGCAGATAGATGTGTGGACACATAAACATCAGTTAATTTGCATATCACAGACACACAGATAGACCAGATAATTAGAGAGAGTTTCATTTTTAAAGCAAACTACATGCACAGATGTATCTAAAGTAAACATTTCTTGATACAGAAAAACAGAAAATATGCTGAGTTGTTATGAGGAAAAACATGTCAGGGATGTAGAGAGTGTCTCATGTCAGGCGATATTGTTTTCAAACCACACTATTCCTGTCATTCACCCCCTCAGAGGAGGGCCCCCAGTCAAAACCAAGCATTGAATGAGAAGGACTAAAACCAATGCTGTGTGTTTCCAGAGATTTCTCAGCCACCAGCTACCACAACATTTCTCCACATTCCCTTTAGCCTACACTGAATATTGAGAAAAGACAGCAATATGTCATTAACCATGGTGCTTCTGTGTGTATAAATGGAAATTTTCCATTAGCTGAACATTATTAATTTAAAAAAAACATAGTCTCAAAAAACCACCTTTAAATCTTACTTAGCCTCTCATTTTAAGCACTTCGCTTGGAGAACAATACAGCTGCCCTTGCAGTGCTCCTCATCTGGAGTGAATTAAAGCTCAAGAGAAACAGTTTCCTCAGCCAGAAGAAGGATGGAGTAAGCTCAACTTTCTGATCAGTAGAATCACAAACAAACAAATCCTGTTGTACTGGCCACATGGCTGTCCACATGCAAGCACAGGCTGTTGTAAACTATGCTCTTCCCATCATCTCCCCTATTCAGCCCACTAAGCCTCTTACCACTACCCTTTTCCATGTCTCAGAAGAGGCTTAACTTCTCAGTTCTAATGATGACTTGGATCAAGACATAATTAGCTCAAATATGTGTCTGCCAAAAAGAGAGAATAAGAAATCTGTTCTGTTAGCAGATTAAACACACTTTAACTGGGTTGGACATGAAACTCGACATAATTTAATTAAGTCGTGTTTGTATAAGATTACTTGTGAAAGACGAGAAGAGAGGCTCACTAACTCCAATCGTTACAGCAGTAGGGAAGTAAATCAAAAGTGTAGGGGTCAACAGAGTGGGAGAACACAATATCAGTACAATCTAACCAGTTAGTAAATCAAACGCACACTTACATCTATCACATAGTGACAGTTGCTCGGCACTTTATTTACTTCGTTTAAGTTAGATATCACAGAGAGAAGAGAAGAGAAGAGAAGAGAAGAGGAGGTGTTTGTGTCCATGTGTGATGGTGTGTTATCCAGATGTACAAGTTAAAAAACAACACCGATGGAATATGCCAACCTTGCCTGTGACCAATGAATGGGAAGCCCTATATCTACACAAATAACTAATCCACAAACACACAATCATCTCTTCGTCCTCTGTGGTTCTAAATGAATCTAAAAGGTTACACAGTGCAGTGACTCATTAGTTAGTTCACAAGTATCTGAAAACGAAAACCAGTCCACTTTGTGTGAGTAGTTTCTGATAAACTGAGCCAGCTGCTGAGTGTCACAACCATAAAAGCTTCTTTTATTGCTCAAGATCTTAAGCCATTCATCATTATTTTATTAGTATGATAATATATTTTATTACATTTTTATTAAGATAAGATAAGATAAGATAACCTTTATTAGTCCCACACGTGGGAAATTTGTTTTGTCACAGCAGGAAGTGGACAGTGCAAAAGTTATGAGGCAAAAATTAGGATACAATAAGAATAAATACAGTACACAACTGTACAGAATAGAATAAAATAAAATACTATATACAGTAGAATAAAATAAAATAAATATACAATAAGATAAAAATAGAATACAAATACAAATGCTATATACAACTGAGTAAAAATACAACGATGACAGAAAGGATTATTGCACTTAGTATTATTGCATATGTATGGATGTGTGTGTTTGATCAGTTAAAGTCTTTATTATGGAGTCTGACAGCAGTGGGGAGGAAAGACCTGCGAAATCTCTCCGTCCCACACCGTGGGTGCCGCAGTCTCCCACTGAAGGAGCTGCTTATCCGGTCATTAATTCATTTTGTTTGCCCTATGAGAAAAGATGGTATCTGATACCTGGTGTCATGGTTGGCTGTGTGGCAGGCGGGCAAGCAGGAGTGGTGGATCCAAAATGCAGGACTCGGACACAGAAATTCAACTTAAAGCGCAGCTTTAATGCTGGAAAACCTCTTACTAACTAAACTCACCAAAAGACAAACAAAAACGCTGGTGGACTAAAACACTGAAGCACAAAACACTGAACTGGAACCAAAACACTGGCAACACGGAGGCAAAACACACACAGCTTGTTGAGGGTACGACACAACACTGACTCAGAGAAACACAGGGTCTAAATACACTGGGAAGTAACGAGGAGAATGAGACACAGAAGGAGGGCACAGCTGGGGGAAATTAGAACTGACGAGACAAGCAAAGCAGGACACATTCACATAAGACACGGACCTACAAAGTAAAACAGGAAGGATCACACAGAGACGCGAACTTGACACAGTGGAGACAGCAACTAAGAAACACAGAGACATAAACCATAAGGCAGAGGACTCTAAGAACCGAGAGACACAGAGGGGAACTCAAACATGCAGACACAGACTTACACAGAACAGAGGGGACATAGAGAAACATGAAGGGCAAGGGATCGAAACTAGAAACCATAGAAACTCACACCAAGTACAATAATACAAAAATCACAATGAACTAAAACGCTGGGTCAGGAGACCCAGGACCCTGACACCTGGTGGTTTCTGAGCAGTGGCTACAGAGATAAAAAAGTGGCAAAAAAGCACAATATATCCACTTTATCTTAACAAGAGAACAGATTATAACAGTAAATGAATGACAGTTTGTGTGCATTGTGTATAACTTCAGTGACTTTTGTGATAAAACACACTAGTTAAATGAATGGTATGGGGGGTTTTTTGGGGGGTTTTTTTGCCTTTGCGTGTCAGAATAGTGATTTATGTGTGGAATTTATCATAAGAAAACCCCCCAAAAACACACACAAAACCAATTTATTCAAATGACCCATTTGATAGGAGAGGGGGAAGCGAACCGGCTGCTGCTATAATGTGTAACACATTGTGGCTCAAATGTGTTTTAATTTGACAGAAAGACTTTCACAGAAAAGAGTTTGTGGAGTATGTGTGGACAAGCTTGGGGTACGTTTGGTCCAAATGTAATCACAGAAAAGCAGGATTCAATGAAAATATGAAAGAAATATATAATAAATCATATCAGGAAAGTTTCAGATTCTTCAAAAAGACATGTGACCTCCTTCTAAGCTTGGTCATATGAGTCAAAAATTATTGTCTTGGCAGCAGTTAATATTTCCAATATCATCCCGAGTAACTCAAGATGAGGAAGAATTTTGTTGGCCTTTAACTGTCTATGAGATCTTTCAAACAAAGCAACTCCCTGCATTTTTATTTGTAGTTTGTCTAGAACTGCATTACTGCAGTTTATAAAGGAGGAGGAGAAGGAGGAGACTGAAGCGTGTGCTCTGCTGCAGGCGCTCGCAGAGAAATGACTCTAGTCCCTCTGTGCTTACAGAGTGTGCTCATCTAAGAACTCAAACTGGAGAACTACTAAAACTGAATGTGGACTTTAAACAGTTTGACTAGGAATTTCTAATTCGTGCTTCTGCAGCAATTCCGGTTTCTACAGATGTTTTAGTGCGGTGAGAGAAACTGTATACAGGCTATCTTTTTTTCATGGTTTAAATTCTTCTGTCTGCAGATATTTTACTTCTGCAGAGTTATTTTTCTCATTGTTTTTATTTTATTTTGCAACTGCATGGACACATTTTGACTTGAATGCGTATCCTTCCCTAAGTTTTCTTCTTTGATAGCAACGAATAGCAAAGACGGAAATTAAAATATACAAGAATAGAATGGAACGAATGAAGGAAATGGCTTGGAAATTAAAGCTATTTTTTTCTATCTATATATCTTCATCATTCTCTCTTCAGGTGGTTTTCATTAATGGTTCACGACAAAGTTTTGCTCTAATTTCCTGTGCAACTGAAGCCCCCAACTCTGTGCACAATGACTGAGTGTGTGTGCAGCTCTTCATACCTGCAGAGGTGGTTGCTAAAGACTTTGTTGTTCCTGGCTGCTGCGCTGCCTTCAAGTGCTGACTGTCCCAAACCATGCGCCTGCGATGTTACCACTGAAGTGCACTGCACCTTCAGATACCTGACTTTAATACCTGACCACATCCTGCCAGCTGTTGAAAAAATTAACCTCGGGTAAGAGTTGAAGTACACATACTCTTGGTGAAGAATTACTGAGTGATTTAAACTGCAGACTTTGTAAAAGAATAGCATTACAAAAAGTATTTCTACAAGTCAAACAGGTTTAGTCTAATAACTAGACCACATATAATTACTGTCTGGAAAAGAAATAACCTTTCAGAATTGAGATAAAAAATGTTTATTTAAAATGTCATTGACTCAAGAAAACACAACTTTATAGCTTCAATTTGTGAAGCTGGTTAATCAACAAGCAAATATTAGCTCAGGTTAGGTGACAAAGCCAATCTTGCCATTAGCTAACAAGCAATAGCTAGCAAGCATTAGCCATCAACAATCTTAACCGGAGAACTTTAGCAGTGTTTAGTTTTATGTGCTTTGAGAGGCTTAGTTTCTCAAAAAATAACCAACAAAAAAAAAAACAGCAAAGAAGTAAATCACCACTCTAGTCGGCATCCCATTGCCATTGTCATCCAGCTAGTAGCTGTTACCACAGCCACTAAATGAATTCATCATAAAATTAATCATCATTCATCACCAAATCGTCTATTAATGCCTCTGGCTGTTACATGATGCATAAACAGAGCTGCCTTACCTCTATCCTGTCTGTGGTGCCCTGGTGCTACTTCAGCCTGCTTGGAAAGCTATTTGTCAATCAAATGACACACAAGTGCATTCAATTATTGTACCTAATTAGACCTCATTTCAGAATGTGACCAGGCCGGAGCAGAGTATTTACTGCAGACATCCTGAGATGTCGTGGCAGGATTAATACAGGCAGAATTAACAGTTAATTATGTAGTCCTAATTTCCTCTACAACTGTCATCTCCAAGGGCACGTCATGTTGCCTGCTGACACATACAGAGTGAACTCAAACATTACTCTGTACACACTATAAATTGTTTTCATTAATATGTATCACAATATTAGTAATCAACAACCTTTACTGGCATTGTTTTAAACTTGTCTTCACATGCATGTATGTTTCAACATGGTAAAATGTGGCCCTGACCTAGCATGGCTAGTACTACCATCCATCATGTGTTTGAAGTAGTGTAACATGAGAAAGAGCCAAGGTCCCTTACCCCAACCCCCAAACACATGCAAAAACCACCTATAAACAGTTAAAAAGTACTTGAAATTTCATGTATACTGGTTCCTGCTACAAGAGCTTTCTCTGAGATGCTTTAGTATGCACACAGCCTCTGTTTGGCAGGATATGGTATCAAAATCTGAATAATTTATTAATCCCAAAGCAATTATATAATTAAAATTATTAAATTAATTATTAAATTAAATTGCCTGAATGAGGAACAGGCAATATAGTCAGCACAATACTAATGTCCAGTATGTCAATACTGAGAGCAATATATACCTATAGTTCACCTAGTGAGGTGTTTTCACTTATTTGTCCGAGTAGACAGGTTCTGGATTAGAATGAATGCTTTTTTTCGCTGAGATCTTTCACCAGCATTGCCCACCTTTTAGGTTATATGTGCAGAACTTCAGTTGCATTTCAGTAATATTTCTGCAAAGTATATTTGAAGGCTCATTCAAAATGATGATCAGTAACCAAAGCTTTTTCATTTCTATGCCGTTAGGTACAACAGCATAACTATCCTGAGAGAAAATGATCTTTCAGGGCTTGAAAACTTGGAACTGTTGTTGCTGCACAGCAACATGATACACACTACTGAAGACAGAGCCTTCAAAGACCTTAAGTCATTACAGGTAAAATCCTTTGTAAACAAATTACTCGCAAACCTCACTGCAACATCCAAAATATATCTTTGTGTGACAACCCTAATTTTTTATTTCATTTTGACTTGTTATTATTTTCTAGAGTAGATTTTCTTATTTCAGTTTATATTTTAAATTTGAAAATGTGTTGTTTTAGTTATTTTTAAATAAATTAGTTTACATGTTCGTTTTCATTTTTGAATGGAGGGCATATGTCAAACACAAGATTGGAGAAAATCAATAATGGTACTGCAATAAAAATAAAGAATTTTTTGAAAGCAGTTGAAGACATCTACAGTTTCAATAGACATGACTCATCAGTTGTAGTTGCAAATTGCAGTAAAGGTTGTTTTTAGTTTGGTTTTAGTTTACAAAAATTGCCTTACTGCTGACATCATATAGTTTTAATTCAGTATTTCTGTGATGACATACACACATCAGTAAGTAGAGCATGCCTACATAAATATGTTTTTGTTTGTTTTCTGGTTTGTTTTCTGGTTTTTAGATAATATCTGCTTGGAGGGATGAAAAGTTCACAGCTGATTTTCTTTACTATGAATGTTGTCTCACATTTCCATCCATAATTAGTTCAAAATGACAAAAAATTTCAAAAAGCATAAAAAGACGACACAAATGCGAGGGGAAAACAATAAGAGTTGTCCAATTACAGCACAGGGTTTTCACCATGGCAAAATTGATTAAGAAGTATCACCTTTGCTTTTGCAAATCTAATTGTAAAGTAATGAAATTAAAAAAAATAACTCAGGCACAAGTAACTGTGTTTAACCAATAACAGGCAGTATAATTCAATACAGAATTTCAGTGTCACAAGTCCAAACTTGTAAAAACAGAGTTGTATCAACTCTTTTGTGGTTCACAAAAAGTAAATGCCTCATGTTTCACAAAGAATGTTGAGTGATTCACAATAATTTTATATGTCTGTGTGTGTTATGTGAAGGATGGTCCTTGATTCCTTGCACTTTTTCAGACTAAATAAACAGTCTGACAATAATTCATGTTATGTCTATAAAAACAATGTAATTGTGTATTGACATAATAGCTTTCAGTTATCATTGTTTTGACCACCATCTCTATCTTCCTAATTGTGTTTTCCAAGGTCCTGAAGATGTCATACAATAAATTAAAGATTATCAACAAAGAGACTTTCAAAGGCTTGGATAGTCTGCTGAGACTCCACATAGACCACAACCACATCGAATTTATAAACCCTGAGGCTTTCTTCGGGCTTACCAACTTAGAATTGGTTAATCTGGAGGGTAACTACCTCCAGCAGCTCCACCCGGACACATTTATCACACTGAGACACAGCCAGGTTTTCAAGGTATCATCAGTAAGAACCATCCACCTGTCAGACAACCTTCTGACCACTCTGCCAGCAGACATTTTTTCAGGCTGCAGTCAGTTAGAAAATGTCTTCCTCCATGGCAACCCCTGGAAGTGTGATTGCCGTATGAAGTGGTTCTCACTTTGGGCACAAAGAAATACAGGTAAGGAGTGCATCTGTGCTTTGGACAATTCCCAAAGTACTTAGAGGCATATAAAATTGAACCGTGGTTAACAGCTAAGAAAGTCACTTACTGAATCTAAACAGTTTCTTTTTCATTAATGCCAGAGAAACTTTCTCTAAACCTCTGTAAGCCGATATTTGCTACCAGCTTTAATAAGACCCATCTGGTAAAACTGCTGGCAGTATTTGTGGTTGTACTCAGGTTTGAGCATAGTATGTTTTTCTCTTAAAACCTAATAGTGCATGGGATTGTATCCCAAGCAAGACAGGCATATCCAAGAGAAGCATATAAATCTTTGCAGAGACATTACAGGAAGCAGATATCATATAATCTTTTCATCATGAGGACCATAGAAAACAATGAAGACATAGAAGAACTAAAGTTATACATTTTATTTATGACTTGGCAAGCACGAAGGTTAATCGAAATGTCGCAATTCTGTATTGTGATTATGACCTTTTGCGGTTCACAAGTTTTATTAGCCAGTTTTGGTTTGGCTGGAACATAAGTTTGAAAGTGTGATTTTTTTTTTCTTCCATGAATCCATCTAAACATTGCACTGCTTAATAATTCTTTCCAGGTGTGCTGAAATGCTGGCGAGACAGGAGATATCCCAGAGGCCTATGTGCTGTTTGTGAAAATCCTTTGCTTTACCACAAAAGGCCTCTATCCCTTCTACCCAACAATGCTTTTACTTGCACCAAACCTTTGATCCAACCCCATCTAAAGCAGAAAAACATCAGCCTGGATGAAGGGAACTTCTTTCCTGTTTCCCCCAAGGACTTTATTGCCCCATTAGGCTCAATACAAATGAACCTGACCGACCAGTTTTACAATGATGCCAGTCTAACCTGCACTGTACAGCGGCCCACTTCTTTTGAGAACCTGACTCAAACCCTGGAGGAAGGAGAAGGAAACAATGTCACCATGCTTACCACTTGCATAACTACGTATTTGGTGTGTAATATTAACCATGAACACATCCAGCAACTGTGGCAGATCTTAGCCACCTACAGTGACTCTCCTATGAGGCTAGAGAGAGGTTTAATGTTGGCCACAAGCCCAGAAATGGTGTACCGATATGCTCAGATGAAAACAAAGGATCTAGATAAAGAAATAAACACAAACATTAAGGCTGAGATTAAAGCCTCTCCTGCATGGTTAATGCAGGGAGAAGTGAGCTTCCAACTAGACCGCACTGCTACCACCTTCTCTACCCTGCACATTAAGTACCAGTCTGTGGTAAACCTACGTTTGGAAAGCACACCATCTAAGAGGGACCGGTATTCCTGGGCCATGATCAAACAAGATAATCAAACTAAAACTGAGCACACTGTACTTACAGGTGGGAGTCAGAGATTAACGCTTAATATACTAGCTCAGAGATGTGACTTTTACTTAGGTCTGCACATACCAGTAACTGAACTATTTACTTATGTATGAAACTATACTGATCATTGCACTAATAAAATAGGAAGCATTTAAAAAAAAATGAATTCAGAATTTCAAAGACTAAAAAGTCTTTTCTTTTTAGCATGAAAACGGTTATGATATTATCAAATGTTTTCCTCCTGACCTAGGTGGTGTGGTACAGTTGAGCTGCCATATCCAGGGTGATCCAAAGCCTCTCTTGGAGTGGATTTTACCAGATGGAAGCAAGGTCAGAGCTCCTTATTCCAGTGAGGACAGGAGAATAATAATTACTGCTGAAGGAAAGCTCACTCTTCGAGGTGCAGATACCTCTGACACAGGCCTCTACTGGTGCATTGCCACAAACTACCTGGATGCAGATATCCTCATCTTTCGAGTGACAGTTCTGTCCACTGATGTGGAAGAGGCTGAGGTCAATGGTGTTCAACTCTCTAGGCCACTGGGTGAAAAGCTTGTTTTTGACTGTAGCTCCTCGGGGAGTCCTGAGGCCTCAGTGTCTTGGATTCTGCCTGACCATTCAGTGCTTGACAAGCCTCATGGGAACAGAAACATTTTTAAGAATGGGACATTGCTGATTCAGGGTATCACAGCAAGGGATCGAGGATTTTATAGGTGTTTAGTTGCTAATCATGTTGGAGTTGACCTACTCGTTTCTCAGGTGACAGTAACAGACAAAGGGTCCGTGACAGCAAGTGTTTTCAACAGTGAGGGATCAGGGATGGTGACGGAGTTTGCAATGGATTCTAGCTTGACACAAAACACAGTCAAACTCAGTGAGATACACCACTCCCAGCATGCTGACAGAACTATCCAGGAGTCCAGGACCATTACTTCAGATCGGCCTTACCCCAGACACAGATCACGTGGCCGAGTAGGTTTTGGAGGTAGACTGGGACAGAGAAGGAGGGGGTCAGTCCGCAACAGCCACATCTGGAGTAGTAGGGTCTTTGATAAAGCTTCCAGGAAAGTAGACCCGCAGAAGTTTGCAGAATTTATGAAAAAGGCTCAGGGTGGCTCAAAAATAAAGAGTGATAGAGAAAATGAGAAAGTAAAATATGAAAACACACATATTGGTTATTCTGGTGACAATGAAATTGGATCTGGTGAAGCTCAAGATGAAGACCATCTCATTGTTCTCCCAACAATAGTCCAACCAACAACAGATAATCCACAAAGAATATTTGATCAAGACAGGCAGACTGAGACAGTAACAACCACACAAATTGGTGAGGGACATATTTTAGCAACAAAGGAAAATGGCATGGAAAATAGATTCAGCAATTATATTAATTCAACTAAAATAATGGAAAATAGAGACATGGCAACAACAGAGCCATATATGCAGTCTACATTCACTACAGATCCAAGGTTAGTTGAGACAAACAACTTTTACACCCTTGAAAGAACCAGCATGCCACCTTCGAACCTACAACCAGTCACTCTCCAACCTACTGTGACAGACACTTCACAAGAAACCCAACTAGAGTTATCAGGAGAAGCACCTGCAGAACCAGAGACTTCGACAGAGGGTGCTTTTTCTTCAACTACAGACCCTAATGTTACTCCAATGAGAGATGAACCAGGCCCAGTGGAGCTAGTCCTTCACACAGACCCTGAAAGCCAAACCTCATTTACAGCAATCACAGCTACAGACAGACAGCAAGACAAGATCATTTTCCATACAACCCAGACAATAAAATCCCCGCGCCTGCCTGCAGGATCTACTATCATCTCCCGGCAGCACATCCATATAATCCCACGCCAAAGTAACAGAGGAAAGGTTGGCAGGAGGAACTTTCAAGGCCGCAGAAGAATCATTAAACCAAACAGGATCCATGACATGCAGTCCTTTATTAATAAACTTAAACAATCCACCATGAATAAAGAAGGGAATGCCTCTGTGCCATATCAAATTCAGTTGACCACAGGTAAGAAACCATGTTCTTAAAAACCCTGTTGTTTTGTACTTCTGTGTTGCATAAATAATCAGTCATGAAACAACACGTATGTTTTTAACATGGTTCTTTTTTTCTCAGCCTGTAACTATAATAAGGCAGCAACCACTGATTTGGCAGTGGTCACACCAACAGCATCTTCTAGTCCATGTTTACACAAAACAGAGAAACCTGCTTATATGCAAAAAACCACAAGTCATTACATGACTTCAAATGCCACATTCAACAAAGCAGAGTCTAGATCAGAGACTTCCAATGAGTACATAACGTTTGCAGTTGCCCCTGAACTGGATCCTACAACTAAAGTCCCAACCACAACCACTACTACATCTACTTCTAAGATCATTCGGGGAAAAATTCCATGGAACAAGTTGTTTGGAAACAAAGGAAGGGAAAGGATGCTCAGTAGGCTTAAGAAGCCATTAACTGCGAATAAAACTTCAACTACGACTGAAACAAGAGGCACCCTAACCACAACCATTGCTCCTACGCCCATTACCTCTGCCAACTTATTAGTTAAAGCTGATAGTTTGTCACCATCCAGACACACAACGAGTAGTTCATTAGATGATGATTATGGAGATGCATCCTCTGCTGATTTCCAGTTCACAACACTGGGTCCCAGCTTGGACTTTATACCTGTTACTAGTTATTCTGGTTCCTCACAGTTTTATACCACTGCAGAAACACCACCAGAATTACAGACTCTACCCTCGCCACCCACTGTCAAACCCACCCAGCAGGAAAATCTTGATGTAACCTCATCTGGGTCTGGAAGACTGTCTGACAATTTGCTTATAATCAGACAGAGGCCTGGTGAGACAAGAGGTAGGCTAGGGCGGAGAAGGAGGCCCAATAGGAGAAGAAGACCCCTAAGGAAACCTGGAATTCCCAAAGTCCGACAAACTACAACAACTGAGGCAATAACTACAGAGGCAACAACCATGGAATACACAATGGAGGCAACCACACTTTTTCATCAAAGTGTTTCAGAATATAATCCCATTTACACACAAAAAGATGCCAGAACCACAGTATTGGGTACCACTGAAAAAAGATCTGAGGAGAGTGACCTATATGAGGACTTTGACTGGACATCTAGTGGTTCATCCAGCTATCCTACCACCATGACACCTCTATTTTCCTCTGCCACTTATGATCCTGCTACTACACTGATACCGCATACAACTAAGCGGTTTTACACAACTGCTCAGACAAGATTCCACAGCAACATCAAACCACCAACACAAAGGAATGGTGACACCAATCGCAGTTTAGTGTTGGAGAGAATTAGACCTACCGGTACTCGAAAAAGCAGTGGTACTAAAGGCAGTGTAGATAACTCTGATACACTGATCCTTCTAACAGCTCAGCAAGGCTACATGATCAGTACCCCCGTTCCTTACATTACAGACAAGGATTCTGCCACCTCTACTATTTATAATCAAGTCTCGGGATATGATGCTACCAGTGCCAGTAATGCTGGTTTTGAACCCACTACAAAGGTCATGTCAAGCAAACCCAAGATAGTGGGTGGAAATGCAGCTAGCTTTACTGTACTGTCTAACTCTGATGCTTTCCTGCCATGCGTGGCTGTTGGAAACCCACAGCCAGTTATAACATGGAAACGATTCTCCTCCAGCACAGGTACAAAAATAATTTCATTCATTCTTATCATTAGCAGAACCAAAACGTGATACATATTAAGATATGGGAGTGACAGTATTTTTGGCATCATGTAGAAACAAAATTTGTTGTCAAGTGCAAGTAAAAGCCATTTATAGAAAACGCTGCGATAATAAAGTAACAATACTGTTTAAATTTTGTCAGTTGCTTTAAGTGATTTGTGTAGAATGTTTTAGTGTTTGTAAGGTAAATATTTCATTGTCTCTGTATTTCTTTTGTCCCACAGGAAGAACCATTACCATTAAAGAGAGGATGGGCAAGTATGAGGTGTTGAGCAACGGCACGCTGTCAATCCCAAATGCCAATATTAAAGATCGAGGCCAATACTTCTGTCTAGCTGAGAATGACCATGGATCAGATAAACTTATTATCACCCTCTCAGTGGTAGCCTATCCCTCTCGCATTTTAGAGCCAAAGATGCGCGAGATAAAATCTTATGCAGGAAACACAGTTGAACTGAAATGTAAAGCAGAGGGCCGGCCCATGCCTGTGATATCTTGGATCTTGGCCAACCGTACTCAAGTCATGGGTCAAAACACTGAGAAGGGAAGAGCATCAGTATCTGCTGTGGGGACTCTGGTTATTAAATATGTGTCTGTTTATGACAGAGGTCATTATAAATGCATTGCCAGTAATCCTGCTGGAGCTGATACTGCTACAGTCCGACTGCAGGTGGTGGCAGCTCCACCAGGTATCATGGAGGAGAAGCGGCAGCAGCTACAAGCTATTCTTGGCCACAGTTTACAGTTACCCTGCACTGGTCATGGTACACCTCAGCCTAGTGTTCACTGGGTTCTCCATGATGGGTCAATGATACAATCTAACAGGCCTGTAATCGATACACGGATATCCATGTATGAGAATGGGACGCTTCACATTAAGGATGTGACTCCAGCAGACAGTGGAAAATATGAATGTATTGCTACCAGCTCTACTGGTTCAGAACGAAGAGTCGTGACTCTGACAGTAATACTACAAGAATCTGCTCCTCAGATATTGGAGATATCCAAGCGCTTGACTGAGTTGTCATATGGGGATCAGTTAAGACTAAACTGTTTGGCAACTGGAAACCCTAAACCTAGGATAATCTGGAAACTACCTTCTAAAGCTGTGGTGGACTATTGGTACAGGTAAAAATACGTTCATTGGTAGAACAGGTATTTATTGTATTATCTTTTATATTAAAGTTACAAAATTCTAATAATTCAATGTGCATGATTTGCATAAATATTGCTTAGAAAAACTGTAGTGGTTTAGTGAACATTCTATGGAAGAAAGTGGATAAAAATCACCAAAACAGACTTATTTTTGCCCTTAGCCTCTCATGAAACAGTTAAACTGTTGAAAACAATTCAGTGGCATACTGTTATGCTTACCAAAGTAAGCACTGATTGTGAATAGAGTACATGCATTTATATTTTTTATAGGTTTTGTTGCCTGCACTGATTCATTGAATGTCCCTCATAAGTACACATAAAAACATGTAATTCTCTCTAAATGTAAAGAAATGAGATGCAGATATTGACTATACTTATTCAGAGCATAACTCAGCACAGTCAAATGAAGACTGAAGTGAAAATATTTTCAATACAATGGTTCTCTTTCTATGCTTCTATTAGGATTGAAAAAAAAACCCGACACAAAAGTCATCATACCGAAGGGAATTGGAGTGTATTTCATTTATATTTTTCCTAATTGTTAGCTTGTTCAGTGTGATAATAATGCAAGCATGTCTTACCTTAATTTTACGTCTTTAAAAAAGCATTGTACGTTTAAACCACATTTCTTATACCCCCAATACCTGTTTATATAAACACTTTGTGTGTTGGTACATTGTCATTTGCAATGTCTAACACCAGAGAGAACAGAAAGACTGAGGCAATGTAAAACAGCTACTGATTTAATTGCTGTATCTCCCCAGTGGCATTCTGTACACATTTGTTTGATGTAAGCAGATAAGACACTTTTCCACTGTTACCGTTTTGATTTTAGCTGTTTGAAAAAATATATGAAACCATACAAATTTATGCGTTTTGCTCTTAATAAGCATAGACAAGGAATTCTGCAAATTATCTTAATGCCAGGTTTGTAACTGTCTCTCTAATTTTCTTTTATTTGTTACTCCAGGGTGGGCAGCAGGATACAGGTCCTTGATAATGGTACTCTTACTGTTAACACTGTGAGTGACAAAGATGCCGGAGATTATCTCTGTGTGGCCCGAAACAAGATTGGTGATGCTCTACAACTCATGAAAGTCAGTGTATCAATGAAGCCAGCCAAGATAGAGACTAAGGTATACAGCAAGAAGCAGGTACCCTATGGAAAGGACTTAAAAGTAGACTGTAAAGCCTCAGGGGCACCAAAGCCAGATATCTCCTGGGGTCTACCAGATGGTACAATGGTCAACAGTGCTTTGCAGTCTGATGCCAGCAGTAGAGGAGGACGAGAACGTCGCTACACTCTGTTTGACAATGGAACTCTTTATCTAAACCAGGTATTGAATTGGATCAAACACAAACTGCACAAACATATATACATATATATCATGTTTATATATCGTGTTTTCATATCATGTTTCTCCAGGTTGGAATGTCAGAGGAAGGCGATTATACCTGCTTTGCTGAGAACCAGGTTGGCAAAGATGAGATGCATGTACATATCACTGTAGTTACAGCATCCCCTAGGATGCGTCCATCCAGCCAGACCTATGCTAGAGTGAAGCCCGGAGGAAGCATCCTCTTTGACTGTGAGGCAGTTGGAGAGCCTAAACCTAAGATATTGTGGATACTTCCCAATAACGATGTAATAGCAGCATCACATGAACGCTACTTAATGCATGTCAATGGTTCTCTGGATATTAGGGATGTCAAGGTAATTGATGCAGGGGAGTATGTTTGCATGGCTCGCAACCCTGGCGGAGAAACCAGAAAAGTCTACAAGCTTGAGATAGGTGGGAATCCACCAGTGATCAATGGCTACCATCAGAACAGAACAGTCATTAAAGAAATAGTGTCTACATATTCCAGGAAACTTATAGATTGTATGGCTGAGGGGACTCCCAGACCTACTATCACTTGGATTATGCCTGATAACATCTTTCTAACAGCACCCTACTTTGGAAGTAGGATTAAAGTCCACCAGAATGGGACACTTGAGATACGTAATGTCCGCCCTTCTGATACAGCAGAGTTTATTTGCTTAGCTAGAAATGATGGAGGAGAGGCAGTAATGGTGGTGCAGTTGACGGTTACAAGTATGCTTCGAAGGCCAATCTTCAATAATCCCTTCAATGAACGTATTGTGTCTGGGAATGGGAAAACCACAGTTCTGAATTGTTCTGCTGATGGGCAGCCAATGCCAGAGATATCATGGACTTTGCCTAATGGAACACGGTTTATTGGTGGAACCAATCATGGTTCTCGCCACCAAATAAACAATGATGGGACTTTGGTCATCCGCAGTACTCACAAAGAAGATGCTGGGAAATACCGCTGTGGTGCCAAGAATCTCATGGGCTACATAGAGAAGCTAATAATTTTGGAGATTGGGCAGAAGCCTTATATCCTGACAAGGCCCAGGGGTATCATACGCAGCATATCAGGGGAGCCCCTCTTCATTCACTGCCTATCTGATGGGAGTCCCAGACCAAGAATCTACTGGACCGTTCCTGGTGGTCACACTCTTACTCGGCCTCAAGTCCTCGGACGCTACCAGTTGCTAGAAAATGGTACTCTTATAATTCAGGACACTACACTCCATGACCGCGGAAACTACATATGCAGAGCTCGAAACGATGCTGGTGAGGCTGTACTTACTGTCCCCGTTATTGTCATTGCCTACCCTCCACGGATCACAATGGGGCCCCCCTCCAATGTGAGGGCAGAGACTGGGAGACCTATTCAGCTCAACTGTGCTGCTACTGGGATCCCCAAGCCAGAGATCACATGGGAGCTTCCAGATCATTCAGTTCTATCAGCAGCAGAAAAGGGGCGGCCTATGGGTAGTGAACTGCTCCACCCTCAGGGTACACTAATCATCCAGAGGCCCACACCCTCAGACTCTGGAACATACAAATGCCTTGTGAAAAACCACTTAGGTACAGATTCAAAGGTCACATATGTACTTGTGCTGTGATTAAAAATAATAGCTGAAGGTTGACAGTATATGCTAATGTAAATATTAACAGACACATATTGTCTGCTCACTACACTACCTATCATCTTGTGGATTAGTGAAGATCAAGGCATGTGTAATACAGAAGCTGATTATGTGAGTAATTAACAAAGCACAAAAAAGGAATTTAAAAAAAGAAACTCCTGCTTGCTTGTAACATTGGAAGCTGGGGTCTGGAAAATCAAAGTACTCATTTAGGGTAGTCCTAACGAGAGCAACAGAGCCAAATCATAGAGCCAAACCTAAAGTAATTTCTCTGACCTGCTGTTGGACATAGTAGCCAAACAGGAAAACAGAAATTAGAAGGGGGGGGTTGGTCTTCTCAAGAAGTCATAATTCCCTTTGGACATAACAGCAAATTTAAAAAAAACAACAGAATATGTAGTAAAATGTATTTTATAAGTAATTCAGTGTTTTTAAGTGGGAAAAAGGGTTTATTCAAATATATATATGATACTTGTCTTACACTGGACATGGTATATTGCGTGCGTGCGTGCGTGCGTGTGTGCGTGCGTGCGTGCGTGCGTGCGTGCGTGTGTGTGTGTGTGTTAATTAAGGTCTATATAGATTCCTATATGTCTATTTGGAACACAATGGAATATAATACATATTACCAATCTGTTGTGTTGTACATGAGAATTTACAGTAATGTTATACATTATGCCAATAATAAAGTCCATGTATATCTATTTGCAGTATCTCCTTAATTAAAGTATGGGGAAAAAACATGAACTTACAAAGTAAAACATGGCTCATGTCTTTTTATGCTACTATTTTCTCAGTTGGGGATAAAAGAAATACAAAAGGTATTAAATTATAGGGCACCAAAAAGTCACAAACAGAAGCATATTCAGCTCTGGAATTTTAAGTGCAGGCCAGCTATGAAAATAATCCTTCACTCTCTTTGTCAGTGGGCAGGATCCACAGGGGAGCCATTGATATTTGCTTGTCATGCACTCTGATTTTACTGTGCTCCTGCAAATTAAACTGGAAGGTGATGAGTAATGTTAAGACAGAGGAGGTGAACTTAACATGAGTTTGTACTGCTGCTTGAGCCTGCCATCTGAAAATATATATTACATGCTATACACCTTATGCAAGGCTTATTATGCTTGCTCTCTAACCACACTTACTTGGCAAATGTCAGCTGATTCACACCGTCTCCTTTTTCTAAAGAAATAGATACATGGTATTTTAGTCATGCCCTGTACCTTAGGAACAACTGGAAATAATTTCTCAGTGAATTACTCCAATTTTGAATTGCCCATAATGATGCATGCTTTTCAATAGGAAAATCTTAATCTATACAACACCTCATAAAGAATGCTGTATCTTCTAGTAAGTATACTTCACCATTTGTGTAAAAGTAAAAAGAAAACAAAGACATCAAAGTTAATTATGAATCAGTCTAACATGTTTTGAAATGCTGTATGCAGCTACTGGCCATACCATACCATACCATACCATACCATACCATACCATACCATACCAGCATGGCTGATAATGTTAAACACCACTTTCAACATTGGAATGTTCAGTACCTGCCAATAAATGCAGTTTTTAGATTTCAGAGAAATAAAAAAGGAAAAAATAAAATTCCAAAGTTTAAAGCCAGTCTGCACAAGTGTGATATAACCCGGGCAGATATGGAGGAAAACGGAATTGTCCTCCATAAACTCTGGAATGTGAGGTACTCGCTGTGTGATTTGAGAGAAAAGTGCTTTCATATGTGAGTTTGGTGACAAACAGATACAAATCACAGTAGTTATGAAGGACCACCTATTCTTTACATATGGTACCTCAATGTAAAAGACAGTTCATCATTCACACCGGGTGCCCTGTTGAGATGTGGACGGTGAAAAGTTTATTTGTTCAGTTCTGGTTTTGCAGTTCATGTTCAGGGAATGATGGAGTTTATGTTCCACTGACTTGGATATTTATGAGGATTTTGAACATGTGATTTTCTCATTTTCTCCTTTTCCCTTGGATATTTAAAGGAAGAGGGTGGAAGTCTAACAAGTATCATTTAAAAATAAGGTTTTATGAGAAGCTACTGAGAGGAGGACTGGGGTTTTTTGTGAAATTCACCTTCACCAGGTCAAAGTCACTTTTTGACCCAATTGCTGGCCATAGCTTTTGTAACTAGACTTTTCAAGCATGAAGCGCTACACTACGGTGTTGCGAGAATATAAGTAGAGCCTGTTTTTACTCTCAGTGGGGTAGGTGGACTTATGGCCACTGCTTGGCCACCTTGAAGACTGTGGAAAAACAGAATATACTCAGAATCAAATGACCTGCTAGAAATGTTGTGGCAACTTGTAACAGTCTACTTATAATACACAACATTAATATACACAGTTAGATTTAAAAGTGTCACGGACTTGCTAACTACCATTTAATGCATTCACAGGTGAACTAGAGCATTTTTCTTATTCTGTACATGTAGTGAATCTCCTTTTGGGATTTTCACCATTCATTTTCTTTTCAAGAACCACCAGTACATATGAGTATCCTACCACAACATCTGTGTGGTAGTTAATCCGTATTGTCATCTTAATATTTAATCAAATTGCACCTTATGTGAAAGCTATTGTTCATATTGTTAAATCCATAAATAACTATGCTCTGACTCTGCTGCCCGTTCTCACAGTGTGGCATTTCCTCTCATCTCGTATCACTTTCACATGATATGATATTGGTTTGATAAGAGATCTAATAGACGGTGTTTCCAACCATCATCACAATCCAACACAGGAATGTATTTTAAAAGAATGATGTTTCATTCCTCAAATATAGTTGCAGAGACTTGGAAAATTGTTATATTGCTCTAAAGCTGGTCTTGCAACATTTGGCAATCCAGAAGCTTAATAACTCGTTACACATCTTTCTGTATGGGAAATCCCTGCAATAGGAACTGACATTTAAAAGCAAGAAAAGGAGCAAGTGAAAAAAAGTGTGAAGGAAAAGGGATGTTTACAGAGTGGGTAGATGAGGGAAACCAGAGAAGGGTGAGACATAGTTTTGGTCTGTGGTATGAATTCCATACTTAAACTAGAATGCTAGCAGCATGAACATGGAAACTGAGATGTCTGGAGAGCCCTGCTGGGTGCTGACCAACAGCGGTTTCAGACAGTACTCTTCTGTTAGCTCACAGTCTGCTTCACTTCTTTGAAGCTGCAAACTTGGCAACAAGTAAAGTCCCCAGAAAAAATGTAGTCACACTCCTGCTGATATTTTGCTGCCTATGGGTGGAAAACCCTTTCAAAACAAAAATGTAAAAAAAATTCTCATTCTGTTACACACACAGCCTTTTTAGCCTTGTGGGAATACACACACACACACACACACACACTTGCTCATACAGTCAATTGGTGTTTCTGTCAGTATCTGAGCTACGACTAGAATTTCACACCAGCAAAGTAGAATCCACACATCCACACCACACCATCCATTTTTGCACCTTTCTTCAAGGTACAATCTGTCATTCTGGGATGGTGGTTCCCTGAGTTATTGCTTTTCAGTGTTGTGTTTAATCATCTTTCAGTTTGAGTTAATATTTAATATGTAATTAAAGATTACAATAAGGTAAGCACCTGTAATTCAGATGAAAAGCTCATATAATTATTCATCTCTACTTTCAAAAGCCCTAAAAGTTTTCTTTTTCTTTTTAAAGTGAGCCTTTAGTCACTACCTAGAAGCAAAGTATTTGCACCAGGGAAAGTACATAAATCAGCTTCAACCATAAACTGGCTGAAGTTTTCAGAAAGTGAAATGTTGAAAGCAAGAGGGTCCTAACAAATTTAGAAGTGTCTGGTGTGGTACAGTTTTTATATATAAGAACTTGTATACAGATTTTAATGAGACCATATTCCACAGTGTTTATCTTGAGGGCGGTGGAAGTACTTCACTCTGGGTTCTTACATCTGATTATGGATGCAGATGTGGTACTTTGGTCCCCAGAGAATAATCAGATGGACCAGTGCAGCCTATTTCTGTTTACCTAAGCATTTTTCTTTCAGTTATACAAACACCCAACTAAAAACATCAAAGTACCTCTAAATTATTAGGTCCCCAAGGGGACATGTTTTCAAACGAGCTCTTTCACCCAATTAGACGGCATCAGCAGTGTGGCACTGCCACTTTACGCCTTAGGCTGATGCTTTTTTTTAACTGGTGGGTGGGTCAGCTACATAAGTCTTACAATGCATAGGGGTATTAGCATATTTTTAATCAATGTGCTGTCATTATGCTACACAGAGCTTAACTGAACCATACCAACTGTATTATTTTAAATTCTTTCATTATTTTCTTATGTTGCTCAATCATTCCTTGAATTTTAAGCCTACTGAATGTTGCCGTTTGACTGGCTTCCCATATTCTTTTTGAACCCTAATTATTTCCAGTAGAAGAAGACCAAGACAAAGCTGGAGGACTGCTGTAAAAGAGTCATATGTTTGCAAATTACGTTCCTTTACTTAGACACATCTCACATCACATGACAGCATTTCCTCGGTGCCTCTGGAGCTAAAGCTTAATTTACCACTCTCCAATAAAGCCAGTGTGTAATTTAGATGCACTCTGGAGGAGCTGGAACACAGCTGAGGAAACATTACACAGCTATAAATTAAAAAAAGAACAGCACCAGCAGAAGCTCATTACAAAACCTGAAACCTGCTCCAGTTTACTGTGACATTGATGGTTTTCTATAAACATCTATTTTCACTGTTATGTAAGGTGTCAATTTTTTAACTAGCTACAGATTCAAACAACCTTGATTTTGTTAGAGAACACGAACAAAAAAGGTTTATTTTCCAGAAACACACTACACCTTCACTGACCAGTTCACCTTCAGTTCTAAATGTGAATTAGAATTCTTTTGCTGTCATTATACAAAGTACAACACAATGATAAAGTGGCTACACCTTGCAAAAAAACAAAAAAAAACAAACAAAAAAAAAACAAAAGAGAAAAGCAAAGAAAAAAACATACAGTAATTTACACAGTAAATATAAAGACATACCACGTATGGTGATGAGATTATGGATAGTGACAAAAAGCAGGTGCATGTATTTTGAAGTTTCACTGTGATTTAATCAATAATGGACAATATTACACAGAGTATTCTAATAATTTAAGATATTGCTCATTGGGAGTTTTCCCTTCCCACAATCTTCTGAGCTGTGTTGATGATCTGCTGAATCCTGCTCCCCTCTGCTTCGGTACAGCCCCTGTACCATGCAGTGATACAGCATGTCAGCACACTCTCTGTGGAGGAGCAAGTCTCTGTTGTGTCTTTCTTGTGACTGCTGAGGTATTTGGAGTTCAGGATAGGTCAACAGAGATGATGGTACCCAGGAATTTGTGGCCATTGCCACAATTGATGTTGAGAAAGCTTCAACTCAGGGCTGTTCCTGAAGTCATAGGTGATTTCCTTTTTTCCCCTTTGCTCAGTGTCAGGTTTTTGGTGAACTCCAAGCTGAAAATTTCAGAATCTCATCTTTGACATGGCTTGGACATGGACATGGCTTCTTCTTGTAATAAGATTAAGCCACATGTTATCTTTTGTCAACCAACCAATAGATGGCATCAATAGACCCAGTTATGAAAATCTATGTCGTTCCAAATAGTGCTGAGAAAATACATGTAAAAATATGTAAAGGATTTAAATCTGAAAATCCTTTGAAAACAAATATAAGTGTCCCAGAAAATGAAATAAATTGG